ATCTGTTTTATTGCCCAAAATGGTGTGTGTTTGCCAGAAGATGTTTGGCCATATGCAAATATTGTGGCATTGAAACCTTCCATGAAGGAATCGACTAAAGGTTTTACTACAGATCCATATACATCTGAATTTGTACATTCCTGATTAAATACATGGTCGAATATATAAACCTCTCCATGGCGACTACTTTCATCGGCTTCCCATATGCAGTTTACTCTTACGTTCCAAAGACGCTCTAGACCATCGGCTACTTCGCGGTGGATCATTGGTCTGATCTTTGTGGCTACTTTAATATTGTTGGAAGTCATTTTGGAAGCTTGAACTGAAATTTAATTAGAACTAGGGCTATTTCACGGGTTATAAAGAGGGGCAGATGTATCAGGTTGATACATTCTTTTTTTCCTCCTTTCCAGTATAGAAGATTTTTTTCTCTTGTAGGCTATGAATGCGGTCCGATAGTTTAGTAGAGCTACATTTACAGGGTGACTCAAAATCAAAGAAGAAACAGAATTGTTAAATTTCATATAGACTGTTATTGTTATTACAAAAAGAAGTTGAAGCAGCAGCAAATTCTCACAAATCTATAGATCCATCACTTTCAGCACCCGATTTTTCAACTTGAAAAATGCAGCTCGGTGAAGAATCACAAGGTAACTGTTGTCTATTCAGACAATACTCTTCTAAAAGCAACGCGAAGTTACCTAGTGCCTTACATGAATCGCCTTCATAATTCTTCATTATTGTCAATGGAAAACTGAAATTGTTGATTATTACAGTTTTTAATGCTTCAAATAAACAGATGGTGTTCGTGTTGGAAATCCCACGTCTAATCTCGCAAAACAGGTTATCCACCGGATCTTACTATCAACATCTGAAATGCCATTACTGTTTTTAGCCATGTGTACAACAGGTTTGTACGCATAAGACACTCTTACATGAAAACTGTTTATTGTCTAAAAACGAAAATACCCCATTGAAGATGAGTAATGCAATAAATATAATCCTCGAAACTTGAACTGTAATATGAACATAAAAAAACTAACAAAATGGGCCATTTAACAACATATTTGGTGTTGATATTCTACAACAAAACAAATACTTTCTCGTATAAGGAAACATACAATAATTAACATTTATCACTTTCACGAAACAATGTAAGTGCGCTGTGACTTTACATACTTATTACAGATTGTAGAACATTTTTTTCATTGTGTATTGTCATGTAACACCTACGTCGTTTTTTTTCTTTAACAACTGCATCAGGATCGAGAACTCTGGGCTGAGAAGTAGACGGCTTACTTTATTCGTCGTTGGTAATTTAGGATTCTTTGCATGGCTGAACGAAGCTCCCTAGGAAGTCTTGGATCTGATAAACGTCCTCTCATACGAAGTTAAATTAGAGTTTGCCTCAGGGGAACAATAAAATTTCGTCGCCTAATGGAACTTTCAGTCCCAGACTGAAAAAAAAAGGAATTTACAGAAGCTGGTTGGATACCAAATAGCACAAGGCCATCTTCTCGTTCTCTAACCAGTATTGTAATTTACACACTTCCGATCATAATGCATTACCCCCCGCCTTCATAGTGTTATAAAAATAATATAGGATCTTATCAGGTTTCTTTGATTCCTCTACTATTTTGTTATCATGCTGCATAGATTGCTATACGAGAACATGTGTATTTGGTTTTGGAAGATACTACTCTAAGGCTGTACAACATAAACTTAGAAGTACCTGGCTGTGTTTCCTTCTTATTTGGAACTACATGTTGGGGTACTTGTTACTTATTTTTACGCTTCCTGCCGACATAGGTCAGTTGGTTGATGCGCAATTCTACATGTAATTCTACTACGACGTGAACCAGTCATCTGCTGTGATATTTCTGTTCGTATAGACGAAAGCATTGAGCAGGTAGTGGTGAGTCTTTGCATCATCAGTCCATACTTATTCGGTTTAGTTTTCTTGTAGGCACAGGAAGGACATCGGCCCACGAGCATCTCGTATTTTGTAGGGGACTCACCCGAAATATAACAATTTCGACAGTTCTCTATGAGTGTCTCGAAAATTTCACGTATTTGGAGAAATTTATCGGCATTTCTCGAGTCACAGGGTTATTATTTTCCAAATTGGTTGCCACGGACTTTAGTTCAGGTAAATGCGTAATAATCGACCAGTTGCAGGCGCTCGTTTTGACCAATTGTACATGTTTTTTCCATAGGCATAGCGAGGTCGCCCATAGGAAGTTGTTCAGGTTGATCGATAGCAGCGTCGTCCTCGGCGTAGTCTATAGTGTATTGTTCATCCGTCAACAACGAAAAAATCCATTGTGAAGGAAGTTCAAATCGTACACGCAACTGACATCCTCGGATCAAATTTGACCGCAAAGTCAACAAACCAACAATTGTGATGTTTAAATTAAACTGTGGTTTGAGGTATACGTGCTCATACCGTATGAGAAGTCACGGGACCCCCACCACATAACTGAGAAAGCTCGAATCATCCGACGATATCATTAAAGGATTAATTTCTATATTCTTGAACGAATCTATAAAATCAAAGTGGCTGGGTTTCAATTTACATAGCTCTTTGTATGGTCTTGTTTGCTGATCAACATTATATGATTTCTAGACATGTTCAATCTGTGCAGCTTCTTCACTTTCATATTAATGTCAATAAGAGCATTTCATCCATTTTTGAATAAATGTGGTTCATCACAAATTGTAGAAATACTCTGAGCATTGACTATAAAATGGAATGGACTTGATCCGTGAGTATTCTCCGAGCAAATCGTCTCAAGTGCGTTTTTGATCGTTGCGCCCTGATTAGAAATAGTGCCAACAACGCACAAACCAAGTCGCTGCTAGTTTGTGATCACATGAACAATAATCGTTTTCAGATCTGGGATTCTTGTATCTTTTACTAGATAATAAGCCACAACCTGCTTATAATTTTTACGAATCCCTCTTATCATGGAAGTAAGGGCATGATTTCTGATAAATCACTTTTTCAGAGTTCTAGTTGATTTTGTTACCTCAGAATTCAAGATTTATTAGCTGAAAATTGTACACTGTGAGCACTGGGATCAGCCCTAAACTTTGTCCAAACCCTGCAATAATCGTAAACACTAAACAAGGGTAGACATATTTCTAGTTTAACTGCCTGAAGATTTTCTCTATGGTTTATACGTAACTCTCCACCTATTATCTCATTTTTGTACATGTTCTGGGAGAACTCAACTTGCTCCCTATAAAATGCAACGTCTTCCTGCACAGGTGGTTCTGGTTAAGTGCCAGCCTGCTTCGGGTTTGTAATTAGTTGTTGCAATTTTCTGATTTCGTCGTCCTTTTTCATAATCCAGATTTCGTTTTGGCATTCCAGTTCAGCCATTTGATCCTGAAGCTCTTTTATAGTAGAATCATTATGGCATCGTATATCTGAGATTTTAAATGAGTGGTTGACCTCACGTTGGTTACTCTCGTCCATCAGACTCTTTACGTCATTTCTCAGTTTAGATTCAAGTTCTTTTAGGAAGCCAATTTCATCTTGCAGTTCAGCAATGTGTGACATCGTTACATCAGTTTGTGCAGCAGCACTTAAAGAATGTTGCATATCTTCGTACTCAGCGTCAAGCATAGCTTCTAAGTCTGCAACCTTCTTTTTTGACTCAATATTTTGAGCTTCAAGAGATGGTTTAGGGCTCTCTGATCTTCCTAGGTTCTTCAGTTGAGTACGCAGCATCTCTATTTCTGACTCGTATGTTTTTAGTCTTTTTATTATTTTTTTCCAGAAAATCGAGTCTGTATTGCAAGTCGATGAAATTCTTGCGCTTTTTGAGAATTTTTTTGAACTCTTTCTATTTTCTTCGTTGTACGCATCCGTTACTTGGCGGAGTTCCTGACTGTAACGATCGAATTTAGAATTGGCTTCTGTGAGCTGTTTCTTCAGGTCCAAAATCTCCAGCTGATTATCTAGTTTAGTGAATTCTCTAAGCTCATTGAAAGATTCTTCCCTTTGAGTTGTCTTTTAAGTACACTTGCACGTCTTCAGCTATCACAGATTCTGCTTCGGCTAGTGCCTCCTCATATGTCTCTTCTTGAATAGGCCTCATTTCACGTCCGGATGATTCTTCTTTGGGTGGATAATTTTTCAATGGCATATACCCTAGGGATGCTTTTTTAGGTGATACGTTGCCATAGTGTCCAAAAGTATGACGTCTTAATGTTTTTTTCGGTGTTGATGCCGAGGCTCCCATTTGAAAGCGCCCGACAATAGATACTTCCGTTTTTAGTCTTTCTATCTCGAGCAGATACTCTTGTTTGCTTTTATCCATCTCTTTTAGCTTAATTGCCTGCTTTTTGAGCCGAGTTTCGAGATCGCGAGTCAAGTTCTGATATCCTTGAAGTGTCTCTTCTGTAGCTGACAAGATGTTTACTTTCGTTTTATTTTTGACAGTTTTAGTGCTTTGGGCGAATTCTGGTGTAGATCTAGTCTCCTCCTCTGCAGCTAAAGTAACATTCCCGATAATCAATGATTTGGCATTACCGCCAAGAGCCTGTGAGAGCAGTCTAGTCAATTTCGAATCGCGATAACTGATAAACTCCTTCCCCTCGCTTAGTTGCCTTATCACATTTCCTAATACTGACAAAGATTTGTTTATGTTAGCCCCCTCTTTAAGACGCTCACCAGCAGCTTTCGTCAGAGAAACTCTCTCAGAACCAGCTAAGTCCATTAAGTTAAGGTAGCTTATATGTACAGGTCCATCTTTCTGATTGGCATCTTTCGACTCCAGAATAATCCGGAAAATCGTGTGTGATCGAGATGACCTCTCATTCATGCGAGTAGCTGCAACTCGTCTGATCTTATTGCCCTGCATCATGTTCTCCATAACTTTATCAACATTGTCTACGACAGCTTCCCTTGCATCAAGCAGCACATTTCCTTTGATATCTTCTCTTATAGTTAAACCCTGATTGCTCTTATCCAGGAGGTCATTGATCTTTTCATTGTAGATTTCAATATAACTGCATCTAATCAAGTACCTCTTATCAACCTGGTCTGCCACATGCTGGAATAACTGATTGGATACTAATTGGAAAAGCCCAGGATCTGTTTTATTGCCCAAAATGGTGTGTGTTTTGCCAGAAGATGTTTGGCCATATGCAAATATTGTGGCATTGAAACCTTCCATGAAGGAATCGACTAAAGGTTTTACTACAGATCCATATACATCTGAATTTGTACATTCCTGCTTAAATACATGGTCGAATATATAAACCTCTCCATGGCGACTACTTTCATCGGCTTCCCATATGCAGTTTACTCTTACGTTCCAAAGACGCTCTAGACCATCGGCTACTTCGCGGTGGATCATTGGTCTGATCTTTGTGGCTACTTTAATATTGTCGGAAGTCATTTTGGAAGCTTGAACTGAAATTTAATTAGAACTAGGGCTATTTCACGGGTTATAAAGAGGGGCACTTTTCATAATCCAGATTTCGTTTTGGCATTCCAGTTCAGCCATTTGATCCTGAAGCTCTTTTATAGTAGAATCATTATGGCATCGTATATCTGAGATTTTAAATGAGTGGTTGACCTCACGTTGGTTACTCTCGTCCATCAGACTCTTTACGTCATTTCTCAGTTTAGATTCAAGTTCTTTTAGGAAGCCAATTTCATCTTGCAGTTCAGCAATGTGTGACATCGTTACATCAGTTTGTGTAGCAGCACTTAAAGAATCTTGCATATCTTCGTACTCAGCGTCAAGCATAGCTTCTAAGTCTGCAACCTTCTTTTTTGACTCAATATTTTGAGCTTCAAGAGATGGTTTAGGGCTCTCTGATCTTCCTAGGTTCTTCAGTTGAGTACGCAGCATCTCTATTTCTGACTCGTATGTTTTTAGTCTTTTTATTATTTTTTTCCAGAAAATCGAGTCTGTATTGCAAGTCGATGAAATTCTTGCGCTTTTTGAGAATTTTTTTGAACTCTTTCTATTTCTTCGTTGTACGCATCCGTTACTTGGCGGAGTTCCTGACTGTAACGATCGATTTTAGAATTGGCTTCTGTGAGCTGTTTCTTCAGGTCCAAAATCTCCAGCTGATTATCTAGTTTAGTGAATTCTCTAAGCTCATTGAAAGATTCTTCCAGTTCTTTGCGTTGTCTTTTAAGTACACTTGCACGTCTTCAGCTATCACAGATTCTGCTTCGGCTAGTGCCTCCTCATATGTCTCTTCTTGAATAGGCCTCATTTCACGTCCGGATGATTCTTCTTTGGGTGGATAATTTTTCAATGGCATATACCCTAGGGATGCTTTTTTAGGTGATACGTTGCCATAGTGTCCAAAAGTATGACGTCTTAATGTTTTTTTCGGTGTTGATGCCGAGGCTCCCATTTGAAAGCGCCCGACAATAGATACTTCCGTTTTTAGTCTTTCTATCTCGAGCAGATACTCTTGTTTGCTTTTATCCATCTCTTTTAGCTTAATTGCCTGCTTTTTGAGCCGAGTTTCGAGATCGCGAGTCAAGTTCTGATATCCTTGAAGTGTCTCTTCTGTAGCTGACAAGATGTTTACTTTCGTTTTATTTTTGACAGTTTTAGTGCTTTGGGCGAATTCTGGTGTAGATCTAGTCTCCTCCTCTGCAGCTAAAGTAACATTCCCGATAATCAATGATTTGGCATTACCGCCAAGAGCCTGTGAGAGCAGTCTAGTCAATTTCGAATCGCGATAACTGATAAACTCCTTCCCCTCGCTTAGTTGCCTTATCACATTTCCTAATACTGACAAAGATTTGTTTATGTTAGCCCCCTCTTTAAGACGCTCACCAGCAGCTTTCGTCAGAGAAACTCTCTCAGAACCAGCTAAGTCCATTAAGTTAAGGTAGCTTATATGTACAGGTCCATCTTTCTGATTGGCATCTTTCGACTCCAGAATAATCCGGAAAATCGTGTGTGATCGAGATGACCTCTCATTCATGCGAGTAGCTGCAACTCGTCTGATCTTATTGCCCTGCATCATGTTCTCCATAACTTTATCAACATTGTCTACGACAGCTTCCCTTGCATCAAGCAGCACATTTCCTTTGATATCTTCTCATAGTTAAACCCTGATTGCTCTTATCCAGGAGGTCATTGATCTTTTCATTGTAGATTTCAATATAACTGCATCTAATCAAGTACCTCTTATCAACCTGGTCTGCCACATGCTGGAATAACTGATTGGATACTAATTGGAAAAGCCCAGGATCTGTTTTATTGCCCAAAATGGTGTGTGTTTTGCCAGAAGATGTTTGGCCATATGCAAATATTGTGGCATTGAAACCTTCCATGAAGGAATCGACTAAAGGTTTTACTACAGATCCATATACATCTGAATTTGTACATTCCTGATTAAATACATGGTCGAATATATAAACCTCTCCATGGCGACTACTTTCATCGGCTTCCCATATGCAGTTTACTCTTACGTTCCAAAGACGCTCTAGACCATCGGCTACTTCGCGGTGGATCATTGGTCTGATCTTTGTGGCTACTTTAATATTGTTGGAAGTCATTTTGGAAGCTTGAACTGAAATTTAATTAGAACTAGGGCTATTTCACGGGTTATAAAGAGGGGCAGATGTATCAGGTTGATACATTCTTTTTTCCTCCTTTCCAGTATAGAAGATTTTTTTCTCTTGTAGGCTATGAATGCGGTCCGATAGTTTAGTAGAGCTACATTTACAGGGTGACTCAAAATCAAAGAAGAAACAGAATTGTTAAATTTCATATAGACTGTTATTGTTATTACAAAAAGAAGTTGAAGCAGCAGCAAATTCTCACAAATCTATAGATCCATCACTTTCAGCACCCGATTTTTCAACTTGAAAAATGCAGCTCGGTGAAGAATCACAAGGTAACTGTTGTCTATTCAGACAATACTCTTCTAAAAGCAACGCGAAGTTACCTAGTGCCTTACATGAATCGCCTTCATAATTCTTCATTATTGTCAATGGAAAACTGAAATTGTTGATTATTACAGTTTTTAATGCTTCAAATAAACAGATGGTGTTCGTGTTGGAAATCCCACGTCTAATCTCGCAAAACAGGTTATCCACCGGATCTTACTATCAACATCTGAAATGCCATTACTGTTTTTAGCCATGTGTACAACAGGTTTGTACGCATAAGACACTCTTACATGAAAACTGTTTATTGTCTAAAAACGAAAATACCCCATTGAAGATGAGTAATGCAATAAATATAATCCTCGAAACTTGAACTGTAATATGAACATAAAAAAACTAACAAAATGGGCCATTTAACAACATATTTGGTGTTGATATTCTACAACAAAAACAAATACTTTCTCGTATAAGGAAACATACAATAATTAACATTTATCACTTTTCACGAAACAATGTAAGTGCGCTGTGACTTTACATACTTATTACAGATTGTAGAACATTTTTTTCATTGTGTATTGTCATGTAACACCTACGTCGTTTTTTTTCTTTAACAACTGCATCAGGATCGAGAACTCTGGGCTGAGAAGTAGACGGCTTACTTTATTCGTCGTTGGTAATTTAGGATTCTTTGCATGGCTGAACGAAGCTCCCTAGGAAGTCTTGGATCTGATAAACGTCCTCTCATACGAAGTTAAATTAGAGTTTGCCTCAGGGGAACAATAAAATTTCGTCGCCTAATGGAACTTTCAGTCCCAGACTGAAAAAAAAAGGAATTTACAGAAGCTGGTTGGATACCAAATAGCACAAGGCCATCTTCTCGTTCTCTAACCAGTATTGTAATTTACACACTTCCGATCTAATGCATTACCCCCCCCTTCATAGTGTTATAAAAATAATATAGGATCTTATCAGGTTTCTTTGATTCCTCTACTATTTTGTTATCATGCTGCATAGATTGCTATACGAGAACATGTGTATTTGGTTTTGGAAGATACTACTCTAAGGCTGTACAACATAAACTTAGAAGTACCTGGCTGTGTTTCCTTCTTATTTGGAACTACATGTTGGGGTACTTGTTACTTATTTTTACGCTTCCTGCCGACATAGGTCAGTTGGTTGATGCGCAATTCTACATGTAATTCTACTGACGTGAACCAGTCATCTGCTGTGATATTTCTGTTCGTATAGACGAAAGCATTGAGCAGGTAGTGGTGAGTCTTTGCATCATCAGTCCATACTTATTCGGTTTAGTTTTCTTGTAGGCACAGGAAGGACATCGGCCCACGAGCATCTCGTATTTTGTAGGGGACTCACCCGAAATATAACAATTTCGACACAGTTCTCTATGAGTGTCTCGAAAATTTCACGTATTTGGAGAAATTTATCGGCATTTCTCGAGTCACAGGGTTATTATTTTCCAAATTGGTTGCCACGGACTTTAGTTCAGGTAAATGCGTAATAATCGACCAGTTGCAGGCGCTCGTTTTGACCAATTGTACATGTTTTTTCCATAGGCATAGCGAGGTCGCCCATAGGAAGTTGTTCAGGTTGATCGATAGCAGCGTCGTCCTCGGCGTAGTCTATAGTGTATTGTTCATCCGTCAACAACGAAAAAATCCATTGTGAAGGAAGTTCAAATCGTACACGCAACTGACATCCTCGGATCAAATTTGACCGCAAAGTCAACAAACCAACAATTGTGATGTTTAAATTAAACTGTGGTTTGAGGTATACGTGCTCATACCGTATGAGAAGTCACGGGACCCCCACCACATAACTGAGAAAGCTCGAATCATCCGACGATATCATTAAAGGATTAATTTCTATATTCTTGAACGAATCTATAAAATCAAAGTGGCTGGGTTTCAATTTACATAGCTCTTTGTATGGTCTTGTTTGCTGATCAACATTATGATTTCTAGACATGTTCAATCTGTGCAGCTTCTACTTTCATATATCAATAGAGCATTTCATCCATTTTTGAATAAATGTGGTTCATCACAAATTGTAGAAATACTCTGAGCATTGACTATAAAATGGAATGGACTTGATCCGTGAGTATTCTCCGAGCAAATCGTCTCAAGTGCGTTTTTGATCGTTGCGCCCTGATTAGAAATAGTGCCAACAACGCACAAACCAAGTCGCTGCTAGTTTGTGATCACATGAACAATAATCGTTTTCAGATCTGGGATTCTTGTATCTTTTACTAGATAATAAGCCACAACCTGCTTATAATTTTACGAATCCTCTTATCATGGAAGTAAGGGCATGATTTCTGATAAATCACTTTTTCAGAGTTCTAGTTGATTTTGTTACCTCAGAATTCAAGATTTATTAGCTGAAAATTGTACACTGTGAGCACTGGGATCAGCCCTAAACTTTGTCCAAACCCTGCAATAATCGTAAACACTAAACAAGGGTAGACATATTTAGTTTAACTGCCTGAAGATTTTCTCTATGGTTTATACGTAACTCTCCACCTATTACTCATTTTTGTACATGTTCTGGGAGAACTCAACTTGCTCCCTATAAAATGCAACGTCTTCCTGCACAGGTGGTTCTGGTTAAGTGCCAGCCTGCTTCGGGTTTGTAATTAGTTGTTGCAATTTTCTGATTTCGTCGTCCTTTTTCATAATCCAGATTTCGTTTTGGCATTCCAGTTCAGCCATTTGATCCTGAAGCTCTTTTATAGTAGAATCATTATGGCATCGTATATCTGAGATTTTAAATGAGTGGTTGACCTCACGTTGGTTACTCTCGTCCATCAGACTCTTTACGTCATTTCTCAGTTTAGATTCAAGTTCTTTTAGGAAGCCAATTTCATCTTGCAGTTCAGCAATGTGTGACATCGTTACATCAGTTTGTGCAGCAGCACTTAAAGAATGTTGCATATCTTCGTACTCAGCGTCAAGCATAGCTTCTAAGTCTGCAACCTTCTTTTTGACTCAATATTTTGAGCTTCAAGAGATGGTTTAGGGCTCTCTGATCTTCCTAGGTTCTTCAGTTGAGTACGCAGCATCTCTATTTCTGACTCGTATGTTTTTAGTCTTTTTATTATTTTTTTCCAGAAAATCGAGTCTGTATTGCAAGTCGATGAAATTCTTGCGCTTTTTGAGAATTTTTTTGAACTCTTTCTATTTCTTCTTTCTTCGTTGTACGCATCCGTTACTTGGCGGAGTTCCTGACTGTAACGATCGAATTTAGAATTGGCTTCTGTGAGCTGTTTCTTCAGGTCCAAAATCTCCAGCTGATTATCTAGTTTAGTGAATTCTCTAAGCTCATTGAAAGATTCTTCCAGTTCTTTGAGTTGTCTTTAAGTACACTTGCACGTCTTCAGCTATCACAGATTCTGCTTCGGCTAGTGCCTCCTCATATGTCTCTTCTTGAATAGGCCTCATTTCACGTCCGGATGATTCTTCTTTGGGTGGATAATTTTTCAATGGCATATACCCTAGGGATGCTTTTTTAGGTGATACGTTGCCATAGTGTCCAAAAGTATGACGTCTTAATGTTTTTTTCGGTGTTGATGCCGAGGCTCCCATTTGAAAGCGCCCGACAATAGATACTTCCGTTTTTAGTCTTTCTATCTCGAGCAGATACTCTTGTTTGCTTTTATCCATCTCTTTTAGCTTAATTGCCTGCTTTTTGAGCCGAGTTTCGAGATCGCGAGTCAAGTTCTGATATCCTTGAAGTGTCTCTTCTGTAGCTGACAAGATGTTTACTTTCGTTTTATTTTTGACAGTTTTTGCTTTGGGCGAATTCTGGTGTAGATCTAGTCTCCTCCTCTGCAGCTAAAGTAACATTCCCGATAATCAATGATTTGGCATTACCGCCAAGAGCCTGTGAGAGCAGTCTAGTCAATTTCGAATCGCGATAACTGATAAACTCCTTCCCCTCGCTTAGTTGCCTTATCACATTTCCTAATACTGACAAAGATTTGTTTTGTTAGCCCCCTCTTTAAGACGCTCACCAGCAGCTTTCGTCAGAGAAACTCTCTCAGAACCAGCTAAGTCCATTAAGTTAAGGTAGCTTATATGTACAGGTCCATCTTTCTGATTGGCATCTTTCGACTCCAGAATAATCCGGAAAATCGTGTGTGATCGAGATGACCTCTCATTCATGCGAGTAGCTGCAACTCGTCTGATCTTATTGCCCTGCATCATGTTCTCCATAACTTTATCAACATTGTCTACGACAGCTTCCCTTGCATCAAGCAGCACATTTCCTTTGATATCTTCTCTTATAGTTAAACCCTGATTGCTCTTATCCAGGAGGTCATTGATCTTTTCATTGTAGATTTCAATATAACTGCATCTAATCAAGTACCTCTTATCAACCTGGTCTGCCACATGCTGGAATAACTGATTGGATACTAATTGGAAAAGCCCAGGATCTGTTTTATTGCCCAAAATGGTGTGTGTTTGCCAGAAGATGTTTGGCCATATGCAAATATTGTGGCATTGAAACCTTCCATGAAGGAATCGACTAAAGGTTTTACTACAGATCCATATACATCTGAATTTGTACATTCCTGCTTAAATACATGGTCGAATATATAAACCTCTCCATGGCGACTACTTTCATCATCGGCTTCCCATATGCAGTTTACTCTTACGTTCCAAAGACGCTCTAGACCATCGGCTACTTCGCGGTGGATCATTGGTCTGATCTTTGTGGCTACTTTAATATTGTCGGAAGTCATTTTGGAAGCTTGAACTGAAATTTAATTAGAACTAGGGCTATTTCACGGGTTATAAAGAGGGGCACTTTTCATAATCCAGATTTCGTTTTGGCATTCCAGTTCAGCCATTTGATCCTGAAGCTCTTTTATAGTAGAATCATTATGGCATCGTATATCTGAGATTTTAAATGAGTGGTTGACCTCACGTTGGTTACTCTCGTCCATCAGACTCTTTACGTCATTTCTCAGTTTAGATTCAAGTTCTTTTAGGAAGCCAATTTCATCTTGCAGTTCAGCAATGTGTGACATCGTTACATCAGTTTGTGTAGCAGCACTTAAAGAATCTTGCATATCTTCGTACTCAGCGTCAAGCATAGCTTCTAAGTCTGCAACCTTCTTTTTTGACTCAATATTTTGAGCTTCAAGAGATGGTTTAGGGCTCTCTGATCTTCCTAGGTTCTTCAGTTGAGTACGCAGCATCTCTATTTCTGACTATTGTTTTTAGTCTTTTTATTATTTTTTTCCAGAAAATCGAGTCTGTATTGCAAGTCGATGAAATTCTTGCGCTTTTTGAGAATTTTTTTGAACTCTTTCTATTCTTCGCGACGCATCCGTTACTTGGCGGAGTTCCTGACTGTAACGATCGATTTAGAATAGGGCTTCTGTGAGCTGTTTCTTCAGGTCCAAAATCTCCAGCTGATTATCTAGTTTAGTGAATTCTCTAAGCTCATTGAAAGATTCTTCCAGTTCTTTGCGTTGTCTTTTAAGTACACTTGCACGTCTTCAGCT